GTAGGGCGCTGTGGAAGCAGCGGCTGCCGCGGGCTGGACGTGGGGAATTACCACTCCGGGCTGCACAAAAGCCTGTGGATAGACATAGTGAGCAGGTATCCTGTTGAAAGATGGGAGAGGGAGTCAGAGCTGGTATGCGAGTCAGCGCCTAAGCATCACATCCATACTTCGAACTAAAACAAACTCAATTTAGTTGTTGTTATGTGCATAGGGTTGCCACAATAACTACACTGAATGGACCGATTATCAGCTCACTGGCCCGAAGAGAAGCATCGCTCCAAAGCGCAGCATTATAGCCAAGTTAAATATGAGCGTTCAGTGTCACTTGAGGATATTATGTTTAATGCTGTTATAATCTTTAGAAGGACCAGGATTACTGGTGTCAGTTTTAAGACAACTCTAAAAGAGTAAGTTTGATTATTCCATCTGGAAAATTGTGGTATTTGTTTTTCAAAACACCTGTAACTCATTTTTATTACCCTGCTTCTCACTTAACTAGTAAAACAATAATAGACAAAGAGTCTCGACTCTTAGTAAAATGATTTCCTGCAATACTTTTATTATTAGTAACTGAGCAGTTTGACAGCATCACTATAATGAGTTTGACAATAGCCAATAAGGCAACAAGATGGTTGAACCCTGACTTTATGTAAAGTCTTCTGTCGGGGAGGAGGGGTAGGAGTGTATTGTGGCAACCCTACTTAAGTTGCTATGCAGACTCAGCACACATTAATTTCTCTGCAACCTCAGTCACCCTTATTAAAAATAAGAAAAAAACCAACACAGGCGACAAAGGAGTTTAAATAAAGTTCACAAGTGTGGTAAACACAGCAAGAATCACACTTTCCAAACGAACGATAGTGCAGCTCACTCCGTCACAAGAGGCCATTGAGGGGAAGCTACATAGATGCTATTAAAATCCATAACAGTGACTCCTAAGTACATGTGCATCACACTTTTATGAAGTTCATAAGGCCAGAAGGGTCAAACCTGTTTGATTATCAGGCCACTGATGTCCTGTTTTGTGCCAGCTTGTTTATTTCTATGCAAGACATACAGCATAGAGTTTTTTGGGAGATGGGCATAGGATTAAGTCTAAAAAGATCTGGTGCTTTACAAAAGCAAAAAAACAAATTTATGGCTTAAAAAACAACCATTATGAACAGATCAGTACACACTTTCCCATCTTCCCCAAGTCACAAAACTTGCTTCCTTGGCTTGTTTACTTAGCCCTTCAGTTTTGAAAATTGGTCGTATCGTTGTCTTAGCATGCAAGTGTACATACAAGTTCAACTCATAGTTGTATTTTATCACATAATATGAGTTTAGAAAATAATATACTCAATTGTCATCCTGTCTTGCATCTGGATTTCCACAGAGAAGTCCCTCATACATACAACTCCTTTCCAGTCAGTGAATCTTTATAAATCTGTAAAAAACTGCTTGTGCAGATTTACTACTATTTCATACTGAACTTTAAGGACAACTCTAAAGACTGCATAAACCTTTTAGCGCACTGTAAGCACAGATGCAAACTGCAATGGTAAAAACTGTCCTCTTTTCTCCAAATTCAAGTTTAATGGAAAGGGGTGTTTTTTTTGTTTGTTTAATTTTAAAAATAACTTCAAGATTTCTTAAGTGGTCAACAAAGAAACATTTCAATCAGAAGGGACACTGTCAACTAGATTCATAGCAAAACATAGTTTAAAATAAGCGACAGTCAGACTTTAGAACAGCCTAGTTTTCTTTTTAAGAAAAAAAGAGCTCAGTTGATTGAATAGGAATATTAGAAGAGAGAAATGTTCAGTTGCCGTGTTTAAGACATGAACACCACAATCATAAAAACCCAACATGTCAATGAAATTCATTTCCTACTGTGTCAAGGGAGAAATGGAAAAAAAAAAAAAGGTGACAAATAGGGATTTGGAAGGGAAAGGAAACATAAAACAAAACCAAAAGTTGGGTTTTTAACACTCACCTAATTTATGAAGAGATTAGCCAGAAGTGCGTTTGAAGCAAACTTAAGCTGGCTCTGTGCATTTAAATACACATCATTACCTGAGCTCTCCATGCAAAATGGATGAGCATAAACAAGCACTTTGTATTGGTCCCCAATCAAGTACAATCCTAATAAATGCAACGCCATGTTTTTTAAATATTAAGCGAAGAAGTATAAAACCAAATTTGAAATCAACAAGAGCCTCTTCTGCATCATGAAGAGTCCATTTAACACCACAACAAAGGAATCTTTACATACAGCGCTCATGAGAGAGAGTAATTCTAACAGAAGAGACAGTAAGCAAGCTTATCTAGATGCTTGTGTTGAATTGAACTGATGTTACTAAGATTTTCTGAAGACATTAGGACACTTGCCCATACCCTTGAACAAGACAGAAAGATACATGTGCTCCCACTTAAACTCTTGTGACTTGTTTTATTTAAGCCAAGAAACTAACAGGTGGTGAAGTTATGAAACATTATCTGTTTGCTACATCTTACCCTACAATAAACATAAACCCTGTGCAGGCTCCTCACCACCATGCCATTTCACACATGATGATTGACAGCGTAAGCTGCAGTGGGGCTATTTTTGATCATCTGTCATGCTACAACTGTTTTGAGTCGAGTAAAATGGCTTTATATGGCCAAAGTAAATTTCTACCTACTGCAGAGGCCAGCACATGCAGGTCTCAGCCATTCAGAACCCAGCCACTTTTAATGCTCTGCCAGGTCAAAAGCTGAAAAAGCAACTCCCAGTTACGCTGGATATCCTTGGTATCCTTAATTTTAAATAAAAGCTGCTGCTTTACTTTTAAGAGTATGAGTGTGAGAATTATACAAGGTTTAAGCTTTCTTTCCTGGCAGTAGTTTTTATTTTGGAATGGATATTTATTGTTTTACACTTTTGCAATAAAGAAAAAGGGAAGCCACATTTAACTTTAGCAGTAACTGTAGCTTTGGCATATTCAAAATTGAATGACATACACTCCTGCCACGTGCCGTAAGACCTTCACTGTTGTTGTAACAGAAGATTTGTGTTTAACTAAGTCCTCAAAAACAATCCTATAAGCAATATTAAAGGGAAAGCTAATTGTTTCAAAGGAAATAAAAAACTTTGTAGGCTAATGCAGAGAGCTGTGGCATACAGAAATTCAGCAGTACCAGCATACCATTGACTCTCGACATCAAACTCTTGTCAAAGTACATATTTAACTTTGAACAAACTATTTTGCTTTGGCCCTTGCATAGCATCATCTGGTTTTGTAAGCATAATTAAAGAGTACATTTTCACCAATGCACAGCTTTCCTTATAGCAGAAATAGGTCATGTAAACATCAGGACATACAAGACCCTTAAAATGCTTCCTTTCAAATTTGTGCCTGATACCATTAAGAGGACCTTTAGCATTCTGCACGTTAACTTCTGACTGTTCTGGCTTCACTCCCTCTTTCCAGATTATCTGTAGTCTAATATTCTACGGGTCTTTTGATCATAAACTCAAGAGAGGGCTTTTCCTTCTCTCTTAAGAAAGGCAGAATTGCCTAACTCTTGGAAGATAATACCAAGCAGGCAGTATCAGCTAACCATTTGATAATGAACTTAGTAACTTTGGCTTTAACTCTGGTCTTACTAAAAACAGTGGAAATGTTCTCATTTTGATCAAGGTACAAGTTTTAGACAGAAAATAAAGGGAAAAAATCTCTCCAATGGATCAAGTCATATCCTACACCAGTACCTCTGTATAACCCCATATTTTCTCACCAATATTAAAGTAAAAATTATGCAAGCAAAATGAGAAAAGCTATCTTAGCAGGCAAAGTCATCTTCCCCCTCCATAAATTCCTATTGAATTCAGAGATAGTATTCAAAAAAACAATCCTGAAAACAGAGCTGTATAGATAACCAGTCTTGTGATCAAACAGTTTTCTACAAAACACACCAAGAGTAAGATAGATGCTAAAGGTAAAGAGCAGGGAGAAATGTTATTTGGTGGATTAATTGATCTCTGCAGCACTGAATAAAGAAAAATTCCCAGCATTTTAAATGCTTCATGCACTGAAGCTAATCTAGTTTCTGGCTCCCTCCACCACAATAATGTTGTACTTAATTCAGAATATTGTACTTCTGCATCTTCTCAGTAAAAGTAATGTAGCATAATCCAATTATTTTCAGCTTCTTGTTTGATAGGTGGGTAACCATATCAAAACACTGCTGACGCTGACCATACCAGAGTATGGCAGCACCTCACTAATCTGCACTCTGGTAGGAAAAAAACCTCACAAAACATCTGGAGCTTTTGCGTATGGATAAGCAGAGTATTGGTAGTGAATCACCACTATGACCCATTTTACACAGCATTTAGTAAGGTGTGCTTTTACAAAGTGCAAGTGCACAGGAGGAAGAAAGGCTGTAAGGTGACCATGTGTTTCAGAGCAATGCACCTATCATCCTCTTAGAGCGAACTCTTCAACAAAAATGGATTCGAATAAGCACTAAAACAACCCCTCTTCTTGTCAAGTAATACAGTGAATGAAGATGTTCATTCATCCTAATGAATACTGTTCTTCTTCATCTGAACTACATTCCTTAGAAAAGGTACTGGTCATTAGAAATTTTGAGGAGGAAGCACGATTAGTAATCTCCTTTGTCTGCACATAGCAAAAGAAAGGCAAAATCAAAGGATTAAAAATGACCGACTTTATATATACATGACCCTGCAATTTCTTCAGATTTATGTACATTGCATTAGAAATAAAACCTTATTCAGCCTGCTGCAAGAACTTCCCTGACCTAAACATGATTTACGTAATCTACTGTTCGCTCTGGGTGAGGAAAGCAAGAAAGAGCGCTACAATTGCACAGTCCTGTTAGCAGCGGATTGCCACAGGTTCTCCTTTTCTGTTGCGCTCAGCAAATACTCGGTCTCTCCGCAGCTGAACCCCGGGCAGTCCACCAGTTCCTCTTTGCAACAAGTGCTTTAACAGCTCTGGAGACAACGCGCTCCGCCTCCTGCCTACCTTAGCGCAGGCAGCATAAACTGATTGCTGCATATACCCTGTCATCTGCTCACACTTCTTTTAAGTCGAACAAAATACAGTAGAGGATAATCATAAGAAGGAAAAAAAATAGACAAAAAGTTTTCCACAACGTCCCCATGGGTCTCCGAAGAATCAACATTCTCTTTTAAAAGCACGGGAAGTTTCTAGGAAAACTGTTTCCTACAGTTTTGAGGATAGAACTGTTCCCTACCGTTTTGACAAATCAAACTACCGAGAAGCTATCATTGCTTAATAACACCTAGGTACAATATCCTAAAGCTATTCTAGTCAAATAAACAAAATACATTTGTGACCCATTTTCCCTACTTTATTGTTAGCCTACTCATTAATTAGCAAAATGCATTATTTTGCAATGAGTTTCTCAGTCAGTGTGCATTAGTGAAGTGACACTGTATGGAACGTTTAAAGCAGACTTCACCTCCTAAGAGTATGCCTGTAAGAAGCAAGAGTTAGATCTACTTAGGAACAGTATACTCAAGGAAAGGGGAAATGCGCTACGTATTAAAGACAGATTGAAGAAAAAAAATATCTCAAATTAGAAAGCCCAAATGGACGCACACTGTTAATAAGAAGCTCCACACCCCTCCCAAGAAAAACCCCACCCACCCCAAATTATGAACATGCAAGCAACATGTTGATTTACTTAAAAATCAAGAAGTCACACAATTTAGCACTCACTACAAAATATGGTTAAAAAAGTCACAGGCTACAGCTTGAAAGCAAGATAAAAAAAAAGGCCCTTTGCTCCCCAAGGCAAAGTCACTCCTCAACAACAAAAACAAAATTAAAAAGACCCCCCCAAAAAACTTTCACTACAGCTCTTTCAATTAAATAAAAGCACACAGTTTAGCTATCAACACCACTTCATTACTGTAATAAATAAAAAAAAGCACACGGAGGTCTACTGACTATATGAAAAAAAAACATACATGCATCGTTAATCACCATTTTAGCTTGTTTGTGTTTGAGTCTACTGGTTACAGAGTTTAATTCCAAACAGAACTATTCCACCTCTTATCATCATATCCTTCTGATCAGTTATCTTAACTGTAAACGATCCCTGTCAGATTAGAAAGAGATAAATAACATTGAGTCAAGCTGAAAAAAGAGAAATGGGGCACAGCAATCTTGCATCAAGTCATACCTCCTTGCTTTATCATAGGGTCATACGGGACTGGACTGCTTAGGCGGAAAGGACACGTCCCACACAACTTGACTCAGCTGCGGCATTTAGAACATGACTGACAAGGTGAGCGTGTTTATGGGTATACATTTATCAGTCTGAGAACTTCAGCATTGCTGGTGAGTTTATAAGGCTCCTACTGCAAGAGGCCTTTAAGGACCATACTTTTCCTTTTCTTTTTTTTCTAAAAAAAAAGATTTTTCCTCCCCTGTTTGAGGTCCCATTGAACAGACTTACCCAAAAGGCCTCTGTATGAGAGCTGGATGAAGCTGCTGGACGCCAAAGGCAAAACCTACCAACAAAAACACATCGCATTCTCTGTATGGGTGTTCTTTTGGCCATTTATTTACGCTACATGTACACACGCACAAAAATGCAGAGTAACAGCCTTCACTAACAACCTCCAGTGACGATGTCAGAAAGGCTGCAGGACCACAAATTAGAAAGCAAAATACATCAATCTGTATACACACCCCCCCTCAATACATGCATACACAACTTCAGTAAAGCACGCGCTTTCCTAGAGATGTTTAGAAGAATGACTTTTTCTAAACAACAAGCACAAAGTTTTAATTCACTTTTTGTTTTGTGCTCTATGCTGGTCCCTCACTTCAGCCTCTGAAGGATTATATGGTACTTTCTACTCATTGGTGTATTTATGTACTTTCTACAGACTCAAACTTGAGCCATCTCTACTCATGAGGACTTAGCGTGGGGGTCAAATCCTAACTCCATTTCTGTTCTTCAAGTACCCAAGCATAAACCCCTTCTTTCCTTGGCAGGCGCTGAACTGCTCACGCCAGCGTTCCTGGGGCTAAGCAGACGGGAACCCCGAGCGGCCTCCCTCAGAGCACAGCCGTGCGCGCACGCTGCCGTCGCTCCTGCTGCGCGGCACAGGACACCAGGCTGGCCCAGGTGCGGTCTTAGGGAGAGACTTCATTTCAAAGTCCGCCTGACAGCTCCCCACCTGCCTGAGGAGTCTGCACTGAGATCTTGTTTGTACTAATACGACCGCACACCTCGGAAGCGCTTCATTCCTAGGCCAATCCTTCCCTGCGACGATACTGTAAATGGTCATTTAAAAATCAAACCCCCACACGCACCCGAGCACCGAGCGCGCTCCAGCCAAGCGCCGGGCAGCGCTACCTTTTTTACAGCTTGGCTCCCCTCAGCACCCCGAGTCAGGGCCCCCTCCTCACCTGGCTGCATTATCCGCGGCTTGGCGCCCAGGTACGCCAGGTTGACGTTGGCTTTCCTGCCGTCGATGATGGGGTTGGGGTCCTTACAAGCCCTTTCGGCAGCAGCTCTATCCGCCATGGTGACCTTAACGGGGCGACGCTGCGCGTTAGACCCCCTGCCCGCGGGGAAGGAGAAGCCT